TGGCTTGCCATACACACACACACACACACCGTGAACACACACACGTTTGAAACATACGATAAAATGTTCGGCATACATGCTACATTGACAGTGTATATTATATTATTGCATGTGTTTGTGTTTTGATGCCTGCTTTTGGACACAATATGAACAAATATTGCACAACAATCCTTGAATAAACTGTGAAGCTGCAGCAGTGAAAGATTTAATATGGCACCAAGAAGACCAGCTAAACAAGAACACCACAAAAATGTTCTTAAACTGTATTTATATTTTAGAACGTGTAATCATCATAAAACGTAGATAAATGTACGTGAGAAGCAAGTTGTAGACTTTAAGCTGCACTGAAAACAATTAAATTTAACTTTGTCTTTAAATCTGAAAGACTTAACAATTTAAAGGGGGCATATGATGCTGCTAAAAAGAACATTATTTTGTGTATTTGGTGTAATGAAATGTGTTTATGCGGTTTAAGGTAAAAAAAACACATTATTTTCCACATACTGTACATTATTGTTTCTCCTCTATGCCCCGCCTTTCTGAAACGCGTCGATTTTTACAAAGCTCATCGGTCTGAAAAAGCGAGGTGTGCTCTGATTGGCCAGCCATCCAGTGTGTTGTGATTGGCTGAATACCTCAAGCGTGTGACGGAAATATATAGCTAAATAAATACATAAAATACAAATAAAATGGTTTTCATGGATAATTACATTGTCAAGCACCTGCAGGCACTATTCTTTCAAACCAGTTGGGTGAAGACAGGATGTTTTATTCATGTAGATATTTAAGTGCATAGCTAATGCTTTAAAGTGTTTGGAGATAAAAAAAAAATATCCTATGATAAATCAAAATATAATTTTTTCATATAGTATAGGAAGCAGGGTGCGAACTACGGGGGAGCTAGGGGGAGCTCGGCTCCCCTTAATAAGACATGGGCTCCCCTGAAAACGGGATTTGTGAAATTTTGGGGGGTCTCAAATAGTTCGAACACTGATAGGAAGTTTACTGCTACATTACCGTACTGCTGGATGGTGATCTGAAATTCACAAAGTGAATTCTTTGCCTTGATCAGGTTCTCTCATATTCTCCTGTATCCCCCCTAAAACATGATCCCATTTTAGGCTCAACTACTGCCAGGTTATGTTTGCTTGAAAACACAATTTTTCATTGACTTCCATAGTAGGAAAAAAAAATACTATGGAAGTCAATGGCAACCACCAACTGTTTGATTACCAGCAATCTTCAAAATATCTTCTTTTGTGTTCAACATAAGAAAGCAACTCATACAGGTTTGGAACGACATGCATACATAAATGATGACAGAATTTTCATTTTTGGGTGAACTATCCCTTTAATTTGAAGGTCCCGTTTAAAAAAAACAAGGTTTTTAAAAGCAACCTTCATTTGTCAGTGCATTGCTCTGACTTTAAAGCATGTTCAAGTTATCCATTAATGTGACATTGCAGTTGTAGTGTTTAACAGTAACCACTAAACTAAAAGTTAAACATTTGGTTTATTTAAACATGACTCTATCCACAGTGCAAGGAATCAGTCTCTGCAAACAATATCGAGCATTAAGCATGTGTCAATATCACTGCATTGAAAAATCAATAGATGCATTTAAGCCAATTGATTTTTGTCTTCCTGTATGTTCTGCTTAGCATCTGGGAAAAAGGAAGCCTCGTTTTCCTTGCACATGTGGCTTTGGTTATATTGTACACCCAACAGATGTTAGTAAGTTTCCTTTGTGGAAGGAAAAATTAGTTGTGCTCCGCATTATTTGAATATGGTCCTTATTATGTCCTTTTCATTAGTGGTAAATTAATTAGATGCTCAGCATGTTAAAACAAATCACATTTGCCAAAGGCGTTTTTCAAAGGTGTCAAACGTTTGTCAAGTAAGTCTTGTTCTGTTCTGGAACAGCCTCATTGTACCTCTTCTGACACCCACAGTTTCCATGATGCCAGTGCACAGCAACCGCCTGACTAAAAAGACTAGAATATGATTAATCTTTAATTATATCACTCATCTACAAATATGCTAACTGTTGAAAATATAGAGTAATATATAATTAAAAAAAATAAGTGAAGTCATTGCTGTTCAGACAAGGTTGCTTATTTTATTTATTTATTTATGTATTTATTTATCAGAGACACACTAATATTGTTTTCAATACAGCTGAAAAGTTACCACTAAACTAAAAAATCGTATGCAGTTTTGCTTCTAATTTACCTTGGTTTTGGGATGTTTACATATTTTTACTGGAAAGAAAATATAAATACAGTTTAAGAACATTATATTTTTGTGGTGTGCTCATGGTGTTCTTGTTTAGGTGGTCTTCTCGGTGCCATTATTTGATTTTAAAAGTAGCTGTGTTCCTAGAGAATGGCACCAGGAACATTTCAGTAATTCCAGAAGATCCCTTCCTATTTAAATGCCAAGGCAATTACCTGCTGCTGTCTGACATTAACATTCTAACAATTGTTTCTTTCTCTTTTATTTTCTTCTGTGGTTTCTTTGTCTCAGTAGGAGAATGAATGCAGAAAGTTTAAGCAGAAAACCTGTGTATGAGGAGGTTAGAAGTGATCAGATGGTTCCTCCGTGAGGCGACTGACTTACTGGTGACTCATATCAGTTGTTTGGGATGGAGGCAGATAATGAGGCTGAGTGTGTACCTGTTCGACAGAAGAAAAAGCAGCTGTGAAAGACCGCTATTCTCGTGTGTGTTCATTTATTAGGCTGTTCCATTTATTGTGAATGATCCAGCTAAGATCACAAGGCTTCAGGCCTTTATTTCTCTGAAGACAGCTGCAGCTATCGGCAGAAGAATCTACTGATGCCGGCATCTCAGAATAAGTGTTCGCTTTGATTAATCATTCATTCGCTTGTTTATTAGTGGTTCGTTCATAAGTATTCAAATTCAGTGCACTGTTTGTGCTACAGACATGAATGACATCTCAAATCGTGCATGTTGTTCAAGACCGATGTTTCTATAAGAAATCCTACTTACAAATTGTCAGTAAAAGACATCTGGTTGTGGGCTCTTTTTAATTAATAGGACAGTTTATCATTTACTCACCATTATAGCTTTCCAAACCTTTCTTTCTCCTGCGGAACACAAAATAAGGTAATTTCCCAAATTTTAGGTCTGGTTGCGGACTCTTTTTAATTTAACCCTCTGGTGCTGTTCAGTCATTTTTGACCAAAAAACGTAATATTTCTTAGAAAAAACTTAATATCACTTAGATTTTTAAAAAAATACTTCATCAGAATGGTACGAAACTTGGTAAAGGTTTTGGCACTTGCCATGTGAACACACACACACACACACACAAACATGTGCCCAAACAAAATCGAACTAAAAGCTCATTTTTTGAGATATCAACCTCAAATTTGGAACACAACTTGTTTAGATTTATGGCTTTGATTTTCATGCAGTTTTAGAATAAAACATGTTTTTGAAAATATATATTTCATATAAAATTTAATTTTTTTTATTTTTCATAATAAACAAACTTCTATAACTGTTTTTTTAGATTCACTCTTTTTATATATTATATATATACTTTTTTCACTTCAATAATCTGCCAAGTGCCTTCTTTAAAAAGAGACCAAACTCAGTGCATTCAAGATTTACAACAGTTCACACTGGAAAATTCATTTTCATTATCTATACTCAAAAAGTGGTCAACAGCTAATAAATACGATGGCCGACAGAGCTCAACGCGCTGCAACTTCAGAAAACACATGCAAATAGAAAAAGCACCAGCAAATCAAGAAAACATCTTCATCAGTTTGACAGCAGGTGCTGCAAATGCTCACAACGGAAACAAATAAAGAAACGCACTGCAAATGCTCAACACATCCAAATAAAGAATTTTATTTGCAGCGCGTTTCTTTGTTTGGTTGTGTTGTGAGCATTTGCAGCGCGTGTTGTCAAATTGATGAAGTTGTTTTATTAATTTGCATGTGT